AACTACTAGTCCTTTCATTGCAGGGAGTTCTTCCAGTAACCCACAATAGCAGGTGACACGTCCTGGTAATCCTGCTCAATCTGGTTCTCCTAGAATAAATCCTGTCCAACAACCAACACGTCTTGGGGTTGGTATTCGTTGTTTTGGATGCAGAGTTATAGGCCATAGGCAGTCTGAGTGCCCCAAAAATCCGCGCAGGGGACTCTTTGTTGATAAGGGAAATGGTGATTATGAAGGTCCGCCTGTATTTGACAATGAAGGCGTAGAAGAAGCAACAGAAGAGGAAGAGTTTGTGGTTGGTGATGTGGGTTAGGCACTGGTGGTGAGGAGGAGTTTCCTGACTCCCTTGAGAATAACACTGATTGGTTGCGTAACAATATCTTTCAATCGACATGTATTGTTGGAGGGAAGGTATGTAAATTTGTTATTGATTCTGGTAGTTGCGAGAAAGTGGTGGCTGAGGAGGTCGTTAAGAAGTTGGGTTGCAGACTGAGAAACATCCCAAACCATACAAATTAGCCTAGCTGAAGAGGGGCAATGACGTAGAAGTGTCTCAACGTGCTCGAATCAGCTTCTCAATTGGACCTACCTACAAGGATCAGGTTTTATGTGATGTAGTAAAGATGGATGCGTGTCATTTACTGTTAGGGAGGATGTGGCAGTTTCACAGGCACTCACTGCATGATGGATATACCAACACGTACAGCTTTCTGTTTGGAGGAAAAAAATTGTGTTACTACCGAATAAGGATTCAGTAAAAACAATTGGGAACAACGCCAATTTACTGACCAAAAAGAAGTTCGAGACAGAGATGTAGGAGTCTGGGGTAATGTATGTGCTGGTGGGAAAGTCGATTGACAATGAGCATGAAGTCCCTCTCGCAGTTCAGCCATTGTTGAAGGAGTTTCATGAAGTTTTCCCAGAAGAGCTTCCAGATGGATTACCACCACTGTGGGATATTCAGCATCAAATTGACTTGGTGCCTGGTGCTATCCTGCCTAACTGAGCGCATTACAGAATGAGCCCCACCAAGCATGAGGAGTTGCGCAGGCAAGTTGAGGAGCTTCTGGCAAAAGGACACATCAGGGAGAGTCTTAGTCCTTGTGTTGTTTCTGCTCTTCTCACGCCGAAGAAGGATGGCAGGTGGCAGATGTGCATGGATAGTAGGGCGATCAATAAGATTACGGTGTGTTACCACTTTCCTATTCCCCGCTTGAATGATTTGTTGGACCAGCTTACCGGTGCTTGTGTGTTTAGCTAGCTCGATTTGAAGAGTGGGTACCATCAGATTCGGATCAGACATGGGGATGAGTGGAATACCGCATTTAAGACGAGGGAAGGATTGTACGAGTGGTTAGTCATGCCCTTCGGCCTTTCAAATGCACCCAGTACGTTCATGTGGGTTATGAATCAGGCTCTTCACCCATTCATCGGTAAATTTGTTATGGTCTACTTTGATGATATTTTAATTTATAGTGCTAACGATGATGATCATGTCCAGCACCTTCGGGAAGTTCTTTCAGTTCTTCGCAAGGACAAATTCTATGCTGCAATGAAGAAGTGTTCATTTCGTACTGATAGTGTGGTGTTCTTGGGTTATGTGGTGTCGAAGGCGCGGTTAGCAGTTGATACATCTAAAGTAGAGGCGATAAGTCAATGGCCACAGCCCAAGACTGTCACTAAGGTACGGAGTTTTCATGGTCTTGCTTCCTTCTAACGCAGGTTCATACCACATTTCAGTAGCATCATGGCACCAATTACAGATTGCATGAAGGATGGTAGGTTCCAATGGACTTACGAGGCAGAGGCATCTTTCCAATTGATTAATCAGAAGTTGACTACTGCTTCAGTTTTGGTGTTGCCTGACTTTACCCAACCATTTGAGCTACATTGTGATGTTTCGAAAGTGGGTATTGGTGGTGTGCTGAGTCAGAACAACCGCCTTGTTGCATATTTCAGTGAGAAGCTTTCTGGCCAGGTCTCGGTACAGTACTTATGATGTGGAGTTCTATGCATGGCCCGAAGTCCCGGTTTAGTACTTATGGTGTGGAGTTCTATGCAATAGTCCAGGCCGTTCGACATTGGTGTCACTATTTGTTCCATAAGGAGTTCATTTTGTATACGGATCATGACGCCCTTAAACACCTTGGTACTCAGGATAAGGTGTCTGCTCGACATGCCTCTTGGATTGCTTACTTACAGCAGTTTACCTTTGT